AAAAGCAATTGGAGGGAAGGGAGTCTTGTCGAGTTTGCGGATTTGTGTTTTTCAACGGCGTAGGGATGGTTCTTGCTTCCCCGCATTCGGCGGTCCCCAACTCAGTGGTGGAGCCCTGTCCTTTTTCACGCTTTTAAAAAAGATCCCGATTTCGTATTATGCTTTCAGTGCAAGCTGTGTCAACTTAGGACTTTGTCCAAGGGATCTCAAAGAGGCACCAAGGCCCTAATTCACATTTTATATGGGAGGTCGAGAACCGCAGATACAGCTGCACAAACAGTATGAGATAATCTAACCACGCTTCTTTACAGTGACCGCATGCGTCTCGGTGGCGCTTTTGTCATGAAACTAGTGTAGGATATATATTATTACTGGGAGGGGGGCTAGCCAAATGGCGCTCTTATCCATTAACACATATGAAAAGCTAAAAAAAATCTTGATAACCCAGAGACGTTCCTTATAGACCAGGCCGTGTATGTGTGGTGGAGGTTTCTTCCAGGGTGTTTAAAGCTGAGAACCCATGGAGCTTTCTGGGGGCAGGACAGGGGGGGGGGGGGGGCTGCTCTTTGGCCATTAATCCCCTGCTGAGAATGTCGCACTACAGGTTTGCTCTGAAATGCAACAGCTGCCTGGGTCACCGCTGCATACTTTCCCAGGTGAGGGGACCCGCGGGCCCCAGCACACCCAGGCTGGCCACCCTCCAGAGCGCGCAGGGCGCCGACCACCCTCCACAGTGTGCAGGGCGCTAGAGCCTGCGTTCCCTGGCGACTCCTGCACTGAAATAGCCCCAGCCCGGAATTCCTGCAGAAACCATGTCCCTTAGGTGGGCGTGGACTCCTGTCCTCTCTCGTGGCCACCAAGGCCAGGGTCTCTGTCCCCAGCCCTAGGGGAGCCTGGGGTGGTCTCCCTGAGCCTTTCTCCCAGGCCTGCTCTCCTTTCTGAAATGCTCCCATTGGCCTGAGACCTGTAGAAGCAGCCACCTGTGTACAAGCACCTCACAGAGTCCATGGAAAAACAGAATTGAAAGATAAGCTTATTTTGGAGTAGACGTTTTTTGAAATCCATGCGTGGTTTTTTTCATGATACACATTTTCCACGAACATTCTGAAGCCCTCACTTACTGCCAGTTCAGAAGCAGGCCTGATTTGGGGTTAGGCAGTAGTAATCTTGGTTCTCATATACTCATTATAAAAACCACACAGAAACTGTGGTTTGGAATCACTCCCCTGATACCTCCCCGAGCCAAACTCAACTTGCCGCTCAGACAGTGGCCTAGGAATGTCTGCCGCCTCCCTGACCCCACTGGACTTGGAGGCATCTCCGAATCTGTCTTGGGGAAAACACTTTCTGGTTGGTGTACACACACACACACACACACACACACACACACACGTTCTCTATGAAAATGCTAAGGCCCTTCCAACAGGAGCTAACTGAAATAAACTCTTCCATCCAGAGCAGTAAAGAACGGAGTGCTTGCCATCCGGCTTGCGGAACAGAACACAATAAGTACGTGCTCCGCTGTGTTGGAAATGCTGTGGCTGTCATGAAGAGGCAGCACCAAGCTGAGCCGACCCTGCCCTTTCCCACTGTGCTGGATTCAGCATTTCCCTGCAGGCTGCCCCTGCTTCCTCCCTGCCCCACATGGTCGGTGCCTGTCCGTGCATCTCTGTCCATGTCTGCCCGGTGCCTTCAGAAGGCAGTGGCTCTCTCACTGGCTCGCTCGGCTCCTCTCACCTCTGCATTCCCAGAGGCCAGCCCAGCGCCTGGCTCACAGGTCTGCAAGGCCCCAGGGCTGACAGATGCCACTCTCCCACCTTGCCTCTGGGAATCCAGAGCAGCTGTAGCCCGTTCCCTTGGTAGACCCCTTCCTCATACCTGTTGTCCTGAATGCTCAGCCTTAGGCACCTCCGCCCCTGCCCCAAACCTAGGAGCGTGCGTCTCCGTGCAGCTCCAAAATGCAGTGCTTGCAATCTCTGAGCCCCGCTCCCGGACAGTCTTCCCGCACTGGCAGCCCTCTCTCCAATGCACCCTCTACCTGTGAGACTGCAGCAGCCCCTGGATCCCTGCCAGTCCTTTCCCTCTCAGGGAAGGGGTTCTAGCTGCCACATCCAGTGGCTCCAGCCACTGCAGAGGTGCCCGCAACAGACACGACATGCGTGCCACACCCATTAACATTTTAAAAAGACACTTGGTGGGCGCGGTGCTGTGGCATAGGGTAAGCTGCTGTCTGCAGTGTCGGCATTCCATGTGGGCGCTGGTTCAAATCCTGGCTGTTCCACTTCCGATCCAGTTCTCTGCTATGGCCTGGGAAAGCAGTGGAAGATGGCCCAGGTCCTTGAGCCCCTGCACCCGTGTGGGAGACCTGGAGGAAGCTCCTGGCTTTGGATCAGCACAGCTCTGGCCATTGCAGCCATATGGGGAATAAGCCAGAAGATGGAAGACCTCTCTCTCTGCCTCTACCTCTGCCTCTCTGTAACTCTGCCTTTCAAATAAATAAATAAATCATAAAAAAAGACATGTGGGGAGCCGGCATTGTGGCACAGCAAGTAAAGCCACCACCTGGGATGGCAGTGTCCTATGTGGGCACTTGTTCGTGTCCCAACTGCTCCACTTCCGAGCCAGCTCCCTACTGATGGCCTGAGAAAAGCAGCAGAAGATGCCAAGTGTTTGTGCCCTTGCACTCATGTGGGAGACCTGGATGAAGCTCCTGGCTCCTGGCTTCGGCCTGGCCCAGCCCTGGCCGTTGCTGCTGCCTGGGGAGTGAACCAGTGGGTGGAACACCTTTCTCTGTCTCTCCTGTTCTCTCTGTAACTCTGACTTCCAAAATAAGTAAACACATCTTAAAACATGTTGGCATTGCTGTCACTGATTTTTGTTGTTTCTTGTTTCTCCCGAGGTAGAGACGCATGAGAGCGGGGGCCCCTCGTCCTCCCTCCTCGCTGTGCCTCACCCGATATGGCTCTCCTCCCTACGTGGGCGCCCAGGTCCTGTCACCGTCCTGTACAACCTCAGTGTCTGTGTGGTGGCCCAGGCCTGGCCTCCCCTTCCCTTCTCCCCCTCCTCCTCACGTACCCTCCCCTCCGCTGCACCACGGCCTCATCTTACCCATCCTGCTGCCTTCAGACCCCAGAATGTGCATATTTCACTTTCTGCCTCTGGCTTTGCCATCCCCCCTGCCCCAGGCCCTGGCAATGCTGCTGGCTTCTGAGCCATCCTTATGCACCCTGGATCCAGAGCTTTGTGTCCAACCACTGCCTGCCACTCGCTCACCTCCTTGACCTCCTCTGGTGCCTCCCCACAGGCCCCCCCGAGTCACTTCCAGTCCCCATCTGCTCTGCCTCCAGGCCTGGACGCTGACCATGACCGAAAGAAATCACAAGGTTGTGCCTCCAACATCCCGCTCAGCGCATGGGCTCCGAGCCCCCAGGCTCCTTAGCGGCTCTCAGCGTTGCTTCCGCATGGTCAGCTCTCTCCTGAGGACTCTGAAAGCTATGCCACACCTTTACCTTCCCCTGCAAATCCATTTCCCCTGCTTCCAGCCTTGACCTGACCTTGTACTTCCTGGAGTGCTGCCTCGCTGCCTTCTCCGTCCTGTCCTGGACTCACCTGGGCTGCGCCCTTTTCTCCCCACCTCCGACTCTGGAGACCGGCGGGGAGGAAGCCGCGTTCCTCCCTGCCTGCTCTGGCATCTTTACCACCAACATCTTCAGTCTCTCGATGGCTCAGACAAGCGAGAGGCCAGGGATGCCCGGGAACAGCGAGGCCCGGCTCACCTGCAGTTCTCTCCGGGTGAGTCCTCAGAGTTTCCAGGAGTTGGAAAAAGGTGCGGAGCTCTGTCCAAACACGGCCAAGTTGCTGGCTCTCCGGTGCGTCCCTGAGGAGGTCTTGAAAATCTCGATACACCCTTGCCAAGCTGAAAGAGGGACAAAGCCTCATCTATAATGAAACAGCTGTCATTTTCATATTAATGATAGCACCTCATGGCATGTTTTAAGATACTGTCTACTGGGGCTGGCGCTATGGCTCAGTGGGTTAACGCCCTAGCCTGAAGCGCCGGCATCCCACATGGGCACCCGTTCTAGTCCCGGCTGCTCCTCTACCGATCCAGCTCTCTGCTATGGCCTGGGAAAGCAGTAAAAGATGTACCAAGCCCTTGGGCCCCTGCATCCATGTGGGAGACCTATAGGAAGCTCCTGGCTCCTGGCTTCAGATTGGCACAGCTCCGGCTGTTGCGGCCATCTGGGGAGTGAACCAGTGGATGGAAGATCTTTCTCTCTGTCTCTACCTCTCTCTGTAACTGTGTCTTTCAAATAAATAAAATAAATCTTTAAAAAAAAAAAAAAAGACACAATGGCCGGCGCCGCGGCTCACTAGGCTAATCCTCCGCCTTGCGGCGCCGGCACACCAGGTTCTAGTCCCGGTCGGGGCACCAGATTCTGTCCCGGTTGCCCCTCTTCCAGGCCAGCTCTCTGCTGTGGCCCGGGAAGGCAGTGGAGGATGGCCCAAGTACTTGGGCCCTGTACCCCATGGGAGACCAGGAAAAGCACCTGGCTCCTGCCATCGGATCAGTGCGGTGCGCCAGCTGCAGCATGCCAGCCGTGGCGGCCATTGAAGGGTGAGCCAACGGCAAAAGGAAGACCTTTCTCTCTGTCTCTCTCTCTCACTATCCACTCTATCAAAAAAAAAAAAAAAAAAAAAAAAAAAAAAAAGACACTGTCTACTTGACCTAGCTTCTGCATTATGCATCCTCATTCTACTGCCAAGGGAAAAGGAGAAAGAAGTATTTTCCCCTTCCTTACATACAGGAGACCAGACAAGGGTGGTGAATGATTTGCTCAGTCTTCCAGTGTGGGTGGTGCTGGGTCACATCTCAGCCCCATGCTCTTGTCCAGAAAAGCCTTAAACAGGCTGATTTCGGTGGATAGCATTGGAGGTTCTTCCCTGTCTGGCTGAGATCTGCTGCATTTGTCAGAATAGGCCCTGACAGCCGTGCTTCCTCCCCAAGCTCCTCCTTGTGTGCACACCACGTCCATGCGCGCACACAGGCATTCCTGCCAGAGCTGATTGGTTAGGGAGCAAAGAGCAACGCCATCCAGATTTGTTCCCGGGAATTTGAAATATGCAGGAATGCTCCTCTAATTGCTCAGGATGAATTGCTGTACACTGGGCAGCAGCCTGGGTGTTGAGGAGCAAGGGTGAGGCCAATGGTGAGAGAGGTGGAGGCCAGGCCTTGCAGACAGGAGAGAGCTGAGGGAGCTGGCCCTCCTGCGGCCTGCCTTGCTGCCCTTGGCATTATGAGAAAGTCCAGTATCCAAGTTGTGTGCTTCCTTCTGAGCCTTGCAATCACAACCTTAAATAGACAATATTTCATCGCTGATGTGGTGTGAAACCCAGCTCTCCTCATTCAAATGCCTGGCTGGAGTCTGGAGCCCCTTCTCCAATTCCCTCTCTTTGATCTCCCCCAACAACATCTATAAATTCCACCAGGGCCTCCCCTGAGCTGTCTCTAAGGTGGCCCCGACTCCTCCTTGCAACCCCATAGGTTCTGTCTGGATGGGTAAGCATTTCTTTTCAGGAACCCAAAAGTTTAGAATAAACTAGAGCTGCATGAAAGCATTTGGAGCAACGTGGGCCCATCCAAAGCGTCACCTCCCGACTTTGCCCCATTTTCCTATCACGGAGGAAGGTTTATCCTAGGAGATTTCTGAGCAACAGGTACACACTGCAGGCTTGAAGACCATGCCATTGCTGTTGCAAGCACTCAGCTCTGCCACTCTGGGGCAAAAGCAGCCTTAGCCTGGGAGCAGGAGGCTGCCTACCAAGTGCTCTTCAAAATCTAAATGCAGTGCTGTCCTGGAGGTTTATACAGAGCTCCTCTAGAAACAACAACCAAGCAAATATCTCAGCTTCCACCTGGCCCTGTGTTTGTCCAAATCAGGTAAAGCCTGTTCCCTGGCAAGGCCTTGGGGGTGACCTGCAGGTGGGGGCTGTCAAAGATGAACAGTGGGTGAAGGACAGCCCTGTCCCTGTCCTGGGCCTCTGTCCAGTGCTGGGAGAGGGAATCCCCAGGATAGACTTCTTCCTGGGGGATTTGACTTGAAGTGTGACCCCAGGCCGGAGAGAGGCTATTAATCCGGGGCCCACAAGGTTGCTGAAATCAGCACGATGCAATGCTGTGTGGGTGTCCGTTTCTCTCAGGAGAGGACCCTAATTCCCAACAGTTTCCTGGGGTGGTCTTCAGCCCCTCAGTTAGGAGCCCCCACTCTCCAGCCACAGGCCCACACTTGCCGCTCGAGAGCACTGATGGCCATTCCAGCAGAGGAGCTGGGTTGGTCTTTGTCTCCCACGAGGTGCGCTTCCCCTGTGGGCCTGATTTCATTCACCCTCACGGCGCTCCCTGCCTGCTGTCCTCTTAGTCCTAGATGGCCACGAAGGCCTTTAAAGGAACAGAGACCTGTTGGGTTCACAGGGGTAAGGGTGTCTTCCTCAAACAGTGACTCCACCCAAGTAACAGATGATCTAGAAGCGGGGGTGGGGGGACACATGTCAGCAGGGTCTGCCATCAGGTCACATCTTGGGGGTAGAATAGAGAAATTATGTCCGTGTGGCCACTTTCAAGCGTTTTCCTCAAGGGCCCTGCCTGTTGATAGAATCTTCCTGGGAGGAAACCTGCTTCGCTCCTAAGAGCTCAGAGGCTCAGCAGGCCTCAAAACCACTCTTGGAGTGCTCCGTGTTCTGAAAGTGTGTGCACCTGCGGACACTCAGGCGCAGGATGAGGACAAAGGGGCAGGCAGCTCTCCCGCATGGTGGGCACCTCAACACTTACATGGAGTTGTTGTAGTTGGACACGGTTCCAGGAGATTCTCCCGGGGTGGGGCTCTGAAAACAAGGATTGTTCACATTGCAGAAAATCCCCTGGAGCCACGGCAACAGTCCTGCCGAGGGCATCGCTTTATTGGGAAAATGGCCTTTAAAACAGGAAGTGAAGACAGGCAGGAGTTAGTCATGAGAGCAAGCAGCACATTGGGGGTGGGGGGGCGGGGCAAGGTAAAAAGGCAAGAGTTTGATGGACAGGTGGCTGATCGAGAACTTGGGGCTGGAAACTCATGAGCAGAGGGCAAAGGCCACGAACAAGGGGAGGGCAGCTTTGCATTGCCCTGGAGGCCTCCATCAGTTCTCCCAGGGGCAGAGACCCAGAAACCAGAGGGCCCTAGTAGCAGAGAGGCTCTCACAAGGTTCATCCCCTGCCCCAGGGCCCCTAGGGGTCCAAGGAAGAATATTTTATGAAGTGTGATCATTCTGTATGGCTCCTGCTCACTGCTCTCCAGCACTGCGTAGGACACAGCCCTTAAGTCAGCCTCTGAAATATTTTAAAGAACTCATCCATTGTCTATTCTCTTTCAAATGGGTGAGGGGTTAGGAACAGGAAAAAACCAACCCAAACAAACAAAAATAATTGTACAATCCTCCAGTAAGCACATGAGAGTGTTTGCTGAGACTTAAAACTTGCGCAATGCTGATGCCTCTCTGTTGTGCACGCTGCAGGCATGAGATGGTGATAAGCAGATGTAATCCTCACCCCCTGCCCCACCCCGCCCCGAGCTTTCTGAACAGAAGGACAGGGCTAGTGTGGCCTCCTGCTCGCCCAGGCTGCCCGCTGTGCTTACATTCGTGTTGGCTGTAGAGAGGGTTGGCGTTCCTTAACCAGATCAAGACCAGAAATAAGGATAAAGGCCACACAAGTTCCACCACAAAGCGAATCTGGAAGAAAAAAAAATATCAAGAGAGAAAGCCCAATGGTGTTAAGAGCTTACTGGCAACATGGCCAGGGCAGACACACTTCATCCCGGCCCTGTGCACGGTGAGACTTGGATTGTAGTGTATTGACCTAAAACACTACCTTCTCCTCTGCCTCCTTGGCCTCTCCCCTACTGGATGGCACCAACCAGATTCCGTGTCCATCGGGGTTCTCCTCAGCCTCTGCTTGGGCAAGAGTCTTAGCACAGACTTCCATACAGAATGATCCAGAACTCGGGCTTCAGTGCTTTCCAGATGTCACCGTGCACACGGATGTCTAACCCAGTAGGGCCCCACCACATCTTGCATTTCTTTTTTTAAATGAATTTATTTGAAAGGAACAGACTGTTAAATATAAGAGTGGGAATAAGAGAGGGAGGAGATGTACAATTTAGGACATGCTCAATCGAACTTGCCCCAAATGGTGAAGTTAGAAATTGCCAGGGGATTCCAATATAATCCCATCAAGGTGGCATGTACCAATGCCATCTCACTAGTCCAAGTGATTAATTTCAGTTCAGAATTGATCACACTGATAGGTCTAAGAGTCAAAGGGATCACACAAACAAGACTAGTGTCTGCTAATACTAACTGATAGAATAAAAAAGGGAGAGAACAATCCAACATGGGAAGTGGGATACACAGCAGACTCATAGAATGGCAGATGTCCTAAACAGCACTCTGGCCTCAGAATCAGCCCTTTAGGCATTCGGATCTGGCTGAAGAGCCCATGAGAGTATTTTAGGCATGGAAAGCCAAGACACTCTGGCAAGAAAAAAAAAAAAGACCAAAATGAAAGATCTCTGAGAGTGAGATTCCAGTGGAAAGAACGGGCCATCAAAGAAGGAGGTACTTTTCTCTGAAGGGAGGAGAGAACTTCCACTTTGACTATGACCTTGTCTAAATAACATCGAAGTCAGCAAACTCAAGAGGCTTCCATAGCCTTGGAAACTCATGACTAGAGCCTAGGGAGAATTCTGATGCCACAAACAAGAGTGTCAATTTGTTAAGTCAACAACAGGAGTCACTATGTACTTACTCCTCATGTGGGATCTCTGTCCTTAATGTGTTGTCCAATGTGAATTAATGCTATAACTAGTACTCAAACAGTATTTTACACTTTATGTTCTGTGTGGGTGCAAACTGATGAAATCTTTACTTAATACATACTAAATTGATCTTCTGTATACAAAGATAATTGAAAATGAATCTTGATGTGAATGGAATGGGAGATGGAGCGGGAGATGGGAGGGGTGCGGGTGGGAGGAAAGTTATGGGGGGAAAAGCCATTGTAATCCATAAACTGTACTTCGGAAATTTATATTTACTAAATAAAAGTTTTAAAAAAAGGAACAGAGACAGGAGAGACACAGAGAAAAACAGAGAGGGAAAAAGAGAGAGAGAGAGAGAGAGAGAGAGAGAGATCTCCTATCCTCTGGTTCACTCCCCAGATGCCCACTAAAGCATGAGCTTGGCTGGACAAAGCCAGGAGCTAGGAGCTCAGTCTGGGTCTCCCCATGTGGGTGGCAGGAACCCAAGCGCTCCAGCCATTCCCTGCTGTTCCCCAAGGAGTGCATTACTGGGAAGCTAGAATTAGAAAGAGAGCAGGGACTCAAACCCAGGAGCTCCAATGTGGGATGCAGACATTGCAAGCCGTGTCTTAACAGCTGTCCCAAATGCCTGCCCCGCTCTTGTATTTCTAACAAGTTCCTAGTTAGAGCTGATGATGCAGGTGGTAAAGATCTTGTTGCAGCCTCTTTAGTCCGCAGATGAGGAAAGCGACCCAGAGAAGGCAGGAGCACCAGTGTCACACAGGCAGGGAGAGCATCAGAAACAGGCCAGCCTACTGCCTGCGGCACCAGTTCTCTTTCTGCCCCTTTGCATGACCTCCTTCCAGTGCACGGCGGACCTTGCACATGTGGTGTTTGAGTGGATGAATGAGCGAATGACTGTGGAATACTGTGACCCTTAGCCAAGTCACCAGAAATCAGGGTTTAGCAACCCCCTTCCTGCAACAATGTCAGTTGCCTAAAGAAACAAAGCTGGGCAGAGTTCCATGGTTTTTACCCCGGAAGAGGCTGCTGCTCCCGACGCACGGCTGAAAGTTGGGATTCGGGCTTGGGTTCAGTTCAGAACTGAAGCACTGTAGCCTGCGCTTAGCAGCACTGCGCGTGAGGTAGGGCTGGCGGTATGGATTATGGAGCGGGGAGGATAGGAGGGAAGGGGAGAGGGGATTGTGAAAACGGGAGCATAACGGCTTCTCTAGCCAGCCTCTACTCCAGACACCTCAGGAAGGAAACTCCCAAGATCTAAAGAGAACTTCAGCAGCTGGCTAGGAATGGAACCTGTATATAGACATCAGCTGTTGCATACTCCGTCCTTTAATGCTTTGTTGTTTTCCTTTTAAAGACACATAAATAAGCTCCCAGTGAAATGGCGGGCATCCTAGCAAGTGCTCAGTCCGCGTTTGCTCCTTTCCTGGTAGTAAGGCAAATCGTGCTTTGTAGAAGGGGTCTGTTGGCAACCACATGGTAACAAATCAGAGATAAATTGGCGGGTGGCAGTGTGACTATACATAGAAGAAAAAGCAAATGATATTTGTGGGTAGGTGGTGATTATGCAATTGTAACTTTTTACCAAATATTTGGCTCAAAGTGTGTCTCGGGAAGACCTGTCGGAGGAAGTACTCGCACAAATACGGGAAGGGAAAAGGAGAGATTTTTCCTCATGGCGTTCAATCTTCAGGGCTACCCCCTACACCTTCTCCCACGAGACGGGAAAACATCAGGGTTGGGCAATTTCCCCCAGCGTGAGGGGGATGGCCTGAGCATGCTCAGCCTTGGAATGTTGGCGATTACCCCCCGGCACGCTGGCCTCCTGCCCAGGCAGCCCCCGCTCACTGCCTCCCGGCATCCCCCGGGCCACACAGCGGCCGTACCTCCATCAGCCTGTACCTCCCCTGTCTTATCGCTCATCTCGTCATACTTCAGGTCAAGTAAGCAGAGCTCTGTGGGCTGGAAGCTTCCTGAGGGCGGGCACCAGGGCTGCCCTGTCCCTGCTGGGAGTCCAGCTCCCTCCACGAGGCAGGACTCGAAACCAGTGCCCACTAACTAACATGCCATGAGACAGCCTGATAAGACTGGCCTAGGAGGGGAATGCTGGAGGCAGCGCTGTTGGCGCTCAGGTGGCCAACAGTCTGCACAGGTGTGCACGCCCGCTCCTTGCCTCCCTTCCGCACTGCAGTGGGGTGGGTGAGCTTGGGGAGCAAGCTGGGCAAGATAGTGAGTGACAGTGTGAGTGGAGAAACCGGAGATTGCTCCTGCTGCCTCGCCAAAGCAGTGAGACAACCAGTCTGGATTCTACTTGTGGACGCCTCCTTAAGACAGCTGCCCGCACTGCTGGCTTTCCACCAAGCGCATCAGGCTGCCCCTGAGCAGAGATATCTATCTGGGAGTGGTCTGGTATGCAAACACTGATGCTGATTTGGGAGTGGGAAGATCTGGGTTAACAACCACTTTTGGGCTTGCATAACCTCTGAGTCTCAGTTTTCTCATCTATGAAATGGGCCCGATATTGCGTCCCACAGGGTACACGGAAGGATAAGAGCCGGTCACACGGGTGCCAAGCCCTGGGTTCCTGTCTAGCTGGCTCTGTCTTAGCTATGTGGCCTTTAGGTAACCTGCTGAAACTCTTTAGGCCTCAGGGTCTTGTCTGTAAAATGAGAGTGATACCAGCACCCTCCTCCAGGAGCAGTTGGGAGGCTGACGCGAGTTAACCGCGCCAGACACAGGAAGCAGAATCCGGCAGCGGGTAACTCTCAGTAAACACAAGCATGCGTTCCTTGCCTCCCGGGGATGTCACAGGGGTCACTGGGGCACTGCAGGTGACAGCATGTCGCAAAGACAGAAAAGAAATGGAGCAGGCCTGCCCCACACCACATTCCTTTCTCCTCCCTTTCTGGATTCGGAATGTGTAGTTGGTGGTTCGGGATCGTGTTGTTCCCTGAGAGACGAACCACATGTGTCCCCTGCTCACTCATCAAGGGGGCTTGCCTGCCTGGCCCCTGGATAAAAATTCTAAACCCAGGCGCATGCATCTCTTGGAAACTCCACCCACTCTCGCATTCCTTCCTGGAGTGTGATGCGTCTGGGCCCCGGCCGTGCCTGGCGCTGTGACCGTGTCCTCGGTCGGTGGGGGCGGCACCTGCCCCGTCCTCGCTCCTGCCCCGTGTTCCGCTCCACGTCGCCCAGTCAGCGCTGCTCTGCTGTCATCCCTGACCCCTCCAGCGGGCACCGCGCAGGGATGTCAGGCCAGGCCCTCGGAAGGACACGAGCATTTTGAAACACGTTTCTCAGGCCATTCTGATGGGCAGGCCATGGTGGTGACCTCTGTGGACGTCTCTCGAAAGGTCTGTGTCATGGTGCTAACTGTCCATGAGGCTCCACAGGGCCTGCGTCTCCCACCTCCCTGCGGCACGTGGACCCCCCAGCCTCTTGTCCCGACCCCAGAGCCATGCTCAGCACCCCCAGCCCAGAGCTGCATCCTTGTCCTTGACGCTCCACTGGGCAAGGGCTTCCCCTGGGGAGAAATTCCACAGCATAATTAAAAGCATGTTTTCCGAGCAGCTCCGTCTCCCCTACCCCTCCCCTTTAAACATGTCTGTAACTTTAATTAAGCCCAGTTGAGGCTCAGAAGGGGCCTAACTGGTATTTCCTTGTTCTCTCTCTCTCTGCCCCTCCCCCTTCTCTATCCCTTTCTATCACCACGGGGCCAGAGTTGTGCTTGTTGTAAAGCTTAGCCAGTTAGATTTTCTTCCTTCTGTTTTCAACTTAAAGGGGGGTTAGCCAAGGCTTGAAGTGAGCTGCTTGAGTCTCCCCTGGGCATGGAGGGCCCAGACAGGACCCTTAGCCTGGAGGAACATGACAGAACCTGGGTGCACTTGGGGCCAATTGCCCAGGCCCTGCACCTGCCACGGTCTGATGCCAGGCACAGGATGAAAGGTGCCCAAGTCTGGGGCCCAGGAAGTGATGAGGCCCCTCCTTCCTGGGAGCCTTCCCCGGATTTCCCATCCTGACCCTGAAGCTGAGATTCGGGGATGAGCCTGCGCACCCTCGGGGACGGGAGTCACACCTGGTGGTCCTTACAGCCCCTCCCTGATGCAGCGCCGGCTCCACAGCCCATGCAGGGGCGAGCTCTCAGCACCAGCAAAGTGCCTGGCCCTGGCGTCTCCTCTGTGCTCATCCTCACCTCCTCCCCAGGCTGCTCAGCCCCACTGTAGCACACCTGATTCTGCTCAGTAATTAGACGTGGGGGCTCTGAGTTCCTGGAGAGCAGGGGCTATCTCTAACTCACTGTGGTGTGGGGGCAAACCTAGAGCCCTGCTTGCCAGGTGCATATCAGTTTGCATTTCTTGGCCTGGTGCAATTACTGAAAATGCCCCCATTCCCTTGCAAAACTGCCCTGGTTTGCATGAGAAATTATACAGTCACTCCAGCTAGGTGCCACTCATGCCCAGCCTGTCGGACAGGCAGTGGGCTGCAGTGGCCGGCTCTGCCTGTCCCGGAGTCAGGCATGGCTGGATCCCAGGCGCGACCCCACCAGTCACAAGCCTTCCTCGGAGGCCTCAGCGACCTCATGAGTGCCATGAGGAGGCAGAGGACTCTGTCTTGCAGAACTGTCACGAGGACGAGGACGTGGCAATACTGATAAAAGTCAACGAGGAAGAAAGCGAGGAAGAGATCTAAGGTTTGCACGTTCTGCCCTTAGGGACTGGGAAGGGAGGGATGGGGGAATTTGGCCTCCGTTTTCACTCTCCCTCTGCTCACACCAAACACCTGAAACCATGGAAGTCTGGGGAATTAAAAACCTAGGGGGCTGAGGGCTGGCTTTGTGGCAAAGCCGGTTAAGCTGCCGCTTGCGAAATCTACATCCCGTGTCAGAGCACCGGTTCTAGTCCTGGCTGCTTTGCTTCTGATCCAGCTTCCTGCTAGTGCGCCTGGGAAGACAGCAGAGGATGGCCCAAGTACTTGAGTTCCTGCACCACGGTGGAAACCTAGATGGAGTTCCTGGCTCCTAGCCTCAGCCTGGCCCAGACCTGACTGTTGTGGACATTTGGTGAGTGAACTGGCAGATGGAAGATCTCTCTTTCTCACTCTCTCTGCCTTTTAAATAAGTAAGTAAATAGATCTTTTTTTAAAAAAAATGCCTAGGGGCTGCATTATGGGCCAGGTGTTTGTACTTTTTGTAGGGTCACCACATTCTAGAGGCAGAAGTTTCTAGAAGAACCAAAAGCTTGGGAAGGAGGCACAGACCCCTCTGAGAGCTTCCAGGGGGCATGGGGGAGGCCTCCAGCTGACCCAGACATCCCAGAGATGCCCAGATGAGAGCCGAGAGCTCAGTGCCTGGGCCTTGGGAAGCACCAGAGGGTACCAGCCCTGGACATGCCCCCGGTCCTGGGTTCTCAGATTGCAGGGCTCCATCCTCCAGGGGAGCCCCCTGGGCAGGGGGATGCCCACCAACACCAGGGTCAGGGAGTGGACTCTACAAGGAGTGACTGTCTTAAGAAACAGTTGTTCTCTGGGGCAGCAGCTCGCTTGTCACAGGGGTGGAATCATGACAGGCCCACAGCTGTGTCTGCAGGCACAGAAGCGGTCGGTGGAGAACCCTGGCCATCCACAGACCTGAGGCCCCAGGAGGGCAGGGCCCGCAAGTGTCTTAATAGCCGCTGTGTATGTACCCTGCACCTGGCCCAGTGTCCCGGGCGAGTACTGAGTATTTGGTGATGGAAGGAACAATGAAAAAAAAAAATGACCAACTCTAACAATGGGTTTTGTTTAAGTTTGTTAATATTTTCATTCGGGAAGGGAAGCTCCTGGAAGAGGGATGGAGTCTCAGGTTAGTGTTTGGTTCCTGGGAGCCCCGGATGACCCCAGCTTTGACAAAGGAAGACAGCCTGGGGACAATGCATATCCCACACACCAGTGGTCCCAACATGGCTTCCCCCCAGCCTTCCTGCGTGCCCTCCAGGCTCCTGGACTGTACTGCCCCTTTCCAAGCCATTGTCCCTCAGTTCCAAACCCACCAGCCAGCCAGGGCTCCCTCTTCATGGATGGGGCTATGGCTGAGACCAGGCCGAGACCCAGCAACGGCCTCATTGCTCCCCCTCCTCCCAGGTCCAGATTTCTACTCTGCAGCTGTCTCATCTGTGCTGCCATGGCCCGGCCATCCCACTGTCTGCCCTTGGTTCCCTGGGCCCCAGGGTGGGAGCTGTGTGCTGCGATTGTGACCTCCATGACACCCGAGTGTGTGTTTTACCCTCTGTCTCAGCCCATTATCTGTCGCTGTACCAGAACGCCACAGACTGGGCAGTTTATGAAGGAAGGAAGTCTATGTGGCCCATGATTCTGAAGCCTGGTGCAAGGGCCTTTGTGTCTCATCATCTCCTTGGGGACAAGCAGAGGGACCAGACAGGGTGCACAGGGGACCAAGCATGAGCCGTGGGCCTGCCTCATAACAACCTGCTTGTCGTGCTCACTCATTGGCTCCCCAGGACCTAAACACTTCCTGTCAAGTCCCTCCTCCTAGCCTGCCACACTGGGGCTCAGGAATTTGGGGGACATACCCAAACCAAAGCACCTCTCAGACACCAGCCTCATACTGAGCTGACACCTTCCCATGCTTGGCTCTCTGACCAGCTCCCAGCTGGAACACACACCCATCAGTCTTCAGATGTCCGGCCAGCTGGACCCACTTCATCCCTAACGCTTCTTCTCGCACTTGGGAAACCTGATATTGCCTACACAAACCCATTTTTGAACTGAAGTTTGCGACAAATGCTGTTTTTCTCCTTTCCTGTGACCTATCTCCTTCCCTTGCCTCCTCCTGGTTCCCTACCTAGCCCTGACCCTTATCCCTGGCCTGCTTCCTCCTTTCTGCTCCTTCAGTCACTTGGTGTTTGCACAACACTGCACGGCCATAGCCAAGTGCATTCCTCCTTTATGGTCACACAGTCACTCCTTGTACAGTCCAGTTGCCTTGAGCTGGGGTGTGTGGCGGCGGCAGGGGGTGGGGGAGGCCCTCTCTGATCTGCGCTCTCACCTGCCCTCCTCCTGGAATATTCGACCTTTGCTGCTTTACATGGCCCTGGGTCTCAAAACATCCTTCAGATTTTTCCAGCCAGCATGGAAGCCTGTGCAGGGTGGACTCTGTGACTCGGTATTTTAGACCCTTAAGTCCAGTGCAGACTCAACGCCTACCTTTTGAAAGAGCGCAGGACAGGTCTGTGATAGCTAAGAATTTTCTGTGTCTCATCAAATCTAAGCTGCCATCAAAAGCGAGGTGCATGCTTATTTTCTGCTCCCCAAAGAAAGAACACGGGAGCATGGTTCAACTGTGATTTGATCACGAGCTGCATTCCTATTTCAGACATGTTAAAATGTGACAAAAGCGTGCCTCATGGAAACGAGGCGTCCCGGAGCCGGGCAGCTATTCAAGAACGTTCTTTTGAGCCTCATTCAATGAACAGACATGACGCTGGGTCAGACTGCGGACCTAAAAGATTAAGACCCAGAATCTGTCCTCTGCTGGCTTCTGTGCCGGCTGGAAAGATCAGAAGTGCATTCAGAGACCAAGAGCAAGGCGGAGAAGCACTGGCCAGTATCCCAGGAGAAGTTCAGCAAGCGCACAGGGAATCAGAGGAGCCCCTGGGGCACGCGTCCATGGCACTGGTCTGCAAGCAGGCTGGGGGAAGGGGTGAGGCGTGTGGGGCAGTAGAGAGGGCACACTCCTATGTAGGACTTAGGGTTCTTCCCATCGCACTGTGTATACGCTCATGAGCGCGGGTCCTGAGCCTGCAGGACTGGAAACCAGGGGGAGGAAGCAGGGGTGGGTAGGCAGTGGACTCATCCGCAAACAGGCGGCAGGTTCCAGAGGAGTTTGATCCCTGTGAAGGGCACTCATCTGGGACGCTCGCTGAGCCACCATCAGGTAAACACGGCTGCAGGGTTAACTGGTCACAAATCCGCAGACGTGGGTGGGAACCCCCTTTTTTTTTTAATCTGCCAAGGGCATTTTGCATATTTATAACATTATTCATGGGCCATGCAAAATTTATCAACTTAAAAATTAGCCCGCTGCAGATGTATTGCATTTCGAGTCCCATCTGTGGTCGCCCCAGCTGGGCCGGACCACATGATCCCGAGGGCCTCCTGTGGCCTGCAGTGTGGACAGCCCCCACCCCAGCAACGCCCTCTGATCCCCCACGCCTCCCACTCCAACCTCAGGCGGGAGCTGTTACCTTTTGCCTCTTCCGCAGGGTCCAGTTCTTCCAGAGCAAGAGCTGTATCTGCCTGGCGAAGCCCATGGTGCCGACGACACAGAGACCGGGAGACGGCCCAGAGCCGAGGCGCCCGGACGGCAGTGGACATGAACGCTGCGCAGAGCGCCTCCGGCTCAGCTGCTGTGTCCTTGGCGATTAGCCGCTCGCTTTCTGTCCCCTTCAAAGCATAATCCCTTTTAATTACATGTAAGCCCTTCGTTGGGGAGAGGGGGCAGACGCTGTGCTGGCTTCTTTCTAGGGAGAGCCAGAAAGTCCTAAAGACGCCGGCGGCTGGGCCCACAGAACGGATGTGGTGTATTTGACGGCGTCCTCCAGCAGCGGGCGGGTTCCTGAAGAACCCTGGGCCGGCTCTGAGCTTTTCATTTGGAACAACATCTCCCTGCAGATGTTCGGACGGGGCCTTTGTCTCCCGCCGCAGCCTGTAGGGTTTGACCACCCCTTTAAGTCCAGTCCACTCATTTGCCACCTCTGAGGCGACCTCTCCTTTGCATTGCCCCATGGTGACTCTGGGTCAGCTATCTGGGGCATCTCTGAGGAAAATCATTTATCCATCTTGTGCCAAAACGAATAAACTAGTTATGGCTGCATGGAGCTATGTTGAAAAAGGCCCTAGATGGGGGCAGGGCTGTGGTGTAGTAGGCTAAGCCTCTGCCTGCAGCGCTGGGTATTCCCATATGGGCACTGGTTCAAGTCCTGGCTGCTCCTCTTCCCATCCAGCTCTTTGCTATGGCTTGGGAGAGCAGTGGAAGATGGTCCAAGTGCTTGGGCCCCTGCGCCCACCTTGGGGACCTGGGGGAAGCTCCGGCTGTTGTGGCCATTTAGGGAGTGAACCAGCAGATGGAAGACCTTTCTCTCTTCCTCTCTCTGTCTATAACTCTAGCTCTCAAATAAATAAGTAAATAAATACAATCTTTAAAAAATAAATAAATAAAAGGCCCTGGAGTGCTGCAGGCTCAGCAGGGTGGAATCCACGATCGATTATCAATGTCTGATACAGGCTGAACCGTGGGAAGAGCAGCAGCCGGGCAGCAGGGTGTGGCGGGTTAGACTCACCTGCAGGTCACGGGTCTGGGACCGTGAGGGGCACCCCCGGCAGAACACGCCCAGGTACTCACCTGGGAACTCTTTGTCTCTCCCTCCTCAAATCTCAGAAGTGTTTTCTTCCTCTTTCAAAGACTCTAGAGCCTCAAGACCTCAATGGGAGTGCAGGGAGAACCTTGTAACAGGCGTGGACTCTGACCGCATGGCCCGGCTGGAAACATGGGATGTGAACTTGGACAGCTTAGGAGGTCTGTGACGGAGGCTGTCTCTGGCAGGGTTTTTGAGAAGAAAGAGATGGCTTTTGCTTAGGATGTCAAAAAGGCCCCTTGTGAGTGGTAGCATTTAAGACAGGCTCTGCGGAATTATAACATCTTTTCCTACACTCATGATTTCCCAACTGCCTTAGCAGATCTTATCTCATTTTACCCTCACCTCAATTCTGTGAGGTAGATGTTTGCTCTCTCTTACGGAAGAGGAACCTGAAACCTCGTGGGATTAAGTGGTTTGCTCAAGGTTACACATGACAACACTGGGTTATTGAGCAACTAAGTGATTTAAACTCTGCGAAGAGAGGGAGATTGAAAACACTTCTCCTTCCCAGGAAAAACACACGGAGTGAAGCATGGCTGGAGGGGAGGAATTGGATGAAAGATGCTAGAGAAGGTTAGAAAGGGAGGTGGGGACCAGACTGGGAAACGGAGGAGGAACGGAGGGGGAGGAAGAGTGAGGAGAGGGAGGAGGATCGAGTCCACGGACGTTTTCTGAGTGGCTCACAAGTGCAGGACACCCCCAGACAGAAGCAAGCTCTATGCAGAATCATTATGAACTTGTTGCATGCTAAGGAGTGTGGGCTCTGTTATGCAGGAGGTGATGAGAGATTTTAATCCCCTGGTCACCAAGAGTAGTCACTGCACGGAAGCAGCAGGGTGGGCGTGGGCTGGGATGAAGCCTAGGGCATGAGCAGGCGCAGTGATGGCCACGTGGGATTAGAGTGATAGGAAGGGAGGAGATACAGCAGGGTCTTGTTGGAAGCAGGTGACGAAAAAGAAGTCAGAATGGTTGGGTCTTGGGGCTCGGAGCTCAGCAGGCTGCAGGGTGAGTGAGCTGGTGGCATTCATGACTTTGAGGAGAACGCTAGAGGAGGGCCCTTAGGAGCAGGAGGAAGCAGCCAAGAGTTTGCATGTGATGGGTTGAAGCTGTAGCACCCACCAGCACGTCTGAATGGAGACAGATATGTGGGTCTGGTTCTGAGATGGAGACATAGTTGGAAATGATCAATGTGTCAGGGCAGGATGAAGCGCTGGGAGTAAATTAAGCAGATTTCCCAGGAAGGATAAGCTTGGAGAGGACTCGAGGCTGCTGTAGGGAAGCCACTGCTGGTGCAGGTATATGTCCCCTTCCAAATTCTCGAAAGACAGAAAATGGGGGTAGCTGTGGATACCAGCCACGTCCATTGTGTTCTAGCATAGTTTCTGAATGGTCTACTTTTCACTGAGTTAGAAAGGAACAAGTTAAACTATGAGCACTGTTGTAACTCAATTGATGAGATTCTTTTGTGTTTGTTTTAGAGATTTATTTATTTGAAAGGCAGAGTTACAGAGAGGCAGAGGCAGGGTGGGGAGTCTTCCATCCGCTGGTTCATGCACCAGATGGCCACAACAGCCAGAGATAGGCTGATCTGAAGCCAGTAGCTTCCGCCAGGTCTCCAACGCAGGTGCAGGGGTCCAAGAACTTGGGCCATCCTCCACTGCTTTCCCAGGCCACAGCAGAGAGCTGGATCAGAAGTAGAGCAGCGGGGACTCAAACCAGCACCAATATGGGATGCTGGCACTGCAGGCTATGCCACATCACAGGCCCCAAGGCCCGGGTAATAGCTTAGGGGTTAGGATTTCAACCTATGACTTTGGAGGTGACACATGCGTTCAGACCACAGCACATGTGTCAGAGTCTCCTTCGTTTTTGAGGTCAGACAGCACATCACACTTTGTTTCCTCTTCCGTTGTGATCTCCGAGGTCGCAGCTACCTTGCAGCTACTGTGAATGACGCTGCTGTGAAAATGGGAGTTACGAATACTTGAGCGCCTGCTTCCGGCTCTTCTGGGCATGTGCCCAGGCGTGGGATTACTGGATCAAATGGCATTTCCATGTTTGATTTTTTGAGGAACTATTGTTTTCCAAAGCAGCTGCTTTGCTCACATTCCCACCAACAGGGCACAATTTCTCCACATCCTGTCCAACACCTGTTCTGTTCGTTTCTGTTCTGGTTTTTATGGCAGTCATTCTGATAAGTGTGAAATGGCATCTCCTATGGTTTTGATTTGCATTTTCCTATTGATTAGTAATGATAAGGACACTCATTCTTTTGAACTCTTACAGTATGATAGCTATAGTTAATACCATTCCTACCCCCATTAGGTAGCTGCAACTGCTAAAAAATTACATCAGAATAAATTTTGTGCTCTCAAATATATCTGAGAAAGTGGCCAGTAGGTCACGGATAACTGCACATTGTGTTCTTGAGATCACCACTGTTAATGCTAATTGATTATAGTAAATCTGAAATAGATGGAAATGTAGAGAAACAGTAGTTTTGAGCTGCGCTTGGGTTGAGAGTTGTGAAGTTAAGTCATGGGCCATATTAATCCACATTTATCTTCCGAAGTACAAAGCAGCCAAGGCACACGGTGAGGTTTTAAAGATCTTGTCATTTTCACTTCTGGGGGTTGAAAGGTAGCCTTAGAAAGGAAGAAGCAGGGGCCGGCGGGGTGGCGAAGCAGGTAATGCTGCCACCTGCAGTGCCGACATCCCATATGGGAGCCGGTTCTAGTCCCGGCTGCTCCTCTTCCGATCCAGCTCTCTGCTATGGCCTGGGAAAGCAGTAGAAGATGGCCCAAGTCCGTAGGCCTCTGCACCCACGTGGGAGACCTGGAGGAAGCTCCTGGCTCCTGGTTTCAGGTCGGTGCAGCTCCGGCCATTGTGGCCACGTGGGGAGTGAACCAGTGGAAGGAAGACTCTCTCTCTCTCTCTCTCTCTCTCTACCTCTCTACCTCTCTGCCTCTGCCTCTGCCTCTGCCTCTCTGTAACTCTGCCTTTCAAATAAATAAATAAGTCTTAAAAAAAAAAAGGAAGAAGTATTCTGATATTCATCCCAGCTCATTCTGCCAGCAACAATGCAATAGTGGAGAAAAGTAATTGAAAATCCTAAAAAAAAATCTTCTGTTTGGAAAAAGGCTCTGAAAATGTGTCAGTGAGGTGACTTTAAAATTACCATAATTTTGGAAGGAGAGAAATTTGATAATGAAGCAAACAACAGCAGACTGCCGACAGTGCTCCTGGGATGAGCTGCAGACTACAGCATGGCCTTCATGCGCACTGCTGAATGCAGGTTTCACTTTAAAAGGTTTTCTTTATTTATTTGAGAGGTAGAGTTACATACAAAGAGAAGGAGAAACAGAGACAAGTCTTTCATCCGCTGGTTCACTCCCCGAATGGCCACAGTGGCAAGAGCTGAGCTGATCCAAACCCAGGAGCCAGGAGCTTCTTCTGGGTCTCCCACGGGGTGCAGGGGCCCAAGCACTTGGACCATTTTCCACCGCTTTCCCAGGCCATAGCAGAGAGCTGGATTGGAAGTGGAGCAGCCCGGACACAAACTGGTGCCCACATGGGATGCCGGCCCTGCAGGCAGAGTCTTAGCCTGCTACGCCACAGCTCTGGCCCCATGAATGTGTGTTTCTTTGAAAACAGTGAACACTGGCAGAGTCGGTAGGTGTCATGAATCTGCATTGTGAACATAGAGGCAGTTTTCTGGTACATTGAAATGTAAGACAAAGGAAAAATAATTATTTTGAAATTTGTGTTCATGCTTTTCAGCCTTTTGGCTAAGATCAAGCGCAAAATTTGTGTTTATTTCTACTAAATTTAAACCAAACCATTTGGCCATGAAAACATGAAATTCCTTTGATCATCATCAACAACAAATATTTGCTTGGCTATTTAATGGGACAATAGCACAATAAATAAATGAGCCTGTGTTTATAAAAGTTACTCATAGGAGCTG